TAGCAGCTGTGCTTAAAACTTAAATTTTAAGTGCTTCCTCCCCAATTTAAAATTTTGTTTGAGTTTTACAGAGTGACCTTCTGAAAGGCAACAACTTGAAAGGAAACGACTATAAAAAATGATAGAATTGTTGGGATGAGTAATRTGGTGGGAGTTCTTTTGTTTGCTTTTTTCCAAAACGTGTAAAAGTGTCAGAATGAATCTGGGACACCGAATACAAGTAACGTCATAAGAATAAGCATCATACCAGGCTACAAGTCAAGCTTAGCAGCTGTGTCCTAGTGTCTGTAAAAAATCATTATCCTAGGAAAGGTGCTAACAGTTCCTTCATGGGAGTGCAATAGATTCCTGCGTTGGGCCACCCAATAGGATATCATCAATGTACTAGTGACAAGAGATGTTGGATCTAGTATGCTAGAGAACCTCAAAACAGCAGTTTTTTGGATTGTATGTTCCTTAGGGAATCATTGAAGCATAGAGTCATTACGGTTAGAAAAGTCCTTCAAGATCATTGAATCCCACGCCTGCTAAAYCATGTCCCTAAATACATCATTTACACATTTCTTGAACATTATCAGGGACGGTGACTCCACCATTTCCTCAGGCAGCCTGTTCCAATGCTCGACTACTCCTTCCATGTAGAAATTTTTTCTMATATCTAGCCTGAACCTCCTCTGGCRCAACTTAAGGTCATTTCCTCTTGCCTCATCGATAGTTATTCTGGAGAAGAGATCGACCTCCACCTCACTACAACCTCCTTTCAGGTAGCTGTAGAGAACGATAAGATATCCCCAGAGCCTCCTCTTCTCYAGGCTAAATAACTCCAGATCCCTCAGCCACTCTTCATAAGGTCTGTGCCTCCAGTCCCTTCACCAGATTTGTTGCCCCTCTTTGGACACGCTTCTAAGGGAAGTCACAATTGACTGTAAATATGGGAAGACTTGTTGGGAGGTTGTGGGGGCGGGATGGGAATGAATCTATGGAAGTGGTTCATCCTTCAGCCAAGTGGTCACTAACAGTGTTATTTGCTAATAACAGAATGTGGGCACCWGTATGAATAAAGCATCACAGATGTTACTTGACAGTAACCGAGTGATGTCTATTTCTAAATCAGAAGATCCTTAAGCTACACCCTCCACGTCACCTCAAAAGATGAACACATTTTGACCTACAGAGTTAGTCATTCTTCTGACAAGTCGTGGAACAAGGGTCTAGCAGGCTCCTGGCCTCTGGATTCCCAGYTGGAGGTGTGGCAGGAGGGGCCCTTGGGCTCAAGGAATATGTGGCACAAAGGASGTTGTTTGCAAAAGTTAGTAACGCTGATGCTGGTACTTGGGGAGCTGCCCATTCAGGAAAATAGACTTTCCAAGATTCCAGATATATATGTCAGGGTTTTTACACAAAGGTTTTGGGGGGATTTTTGACCATATTTTGACATTTGGAATGGCTGCATCCCCAGTGTAGAGGGAAGAAGGAATGGACATGGCTGAGACTATTTTTTGCAACTCCTGAGAACACATGGAGTTCTCACAGAATCACAGAACGATTTGATTTTGGAACAGATTCTTAAAGATTATCTAGTCCAACTGCCCTGCTCAAGCAGGGTCACCTAGAGTATGTTGCCTAGGAGATCTGCAAGGATGCAGACTCTGCAATCTCTCTGGAAAACCTGTTCCAGTCCTCAGTCACACTGGTAGGGAAATAGGTTTTCCTGATGTTCAGAAGAAAGTTCCTGTGATTCCATTTGTCTACTGCCTCTCATCCTGTCACTGCAAAGAATGTGGCCCCATCCTCTTTACAGTCTCCTTTCAGGTATCTAAATACATGCATATGACATCCCTTCACTCTTTTCCAGGTTAAACAGTCACAACTCAATCTTTCTTTTCATCAGAGATCACAGAATCACAGAATGATTAAGTTCGGAAGGGACCTGTGGAGTTCATCTGCCTAGCCCTTCTGCTCAAGGGGAGTCACTTAGAGCACTTTGCACGGGATCGTGTCCAAACAAGTTYTGAATATTTCCAGGGAAGGAGACTCTCTGGGCAACCTGTCCAGTGCAGTCACCTCTACAGGGTTACGCTGGTAAGGTATGTCCTGAGGACATGGTGCTCAAATTGGGATTTGGTCTCAGCCCACTAGCTCTTGACACATGCAGAAGATGCAGTCTGTAGCCAAAACAGCAAATTTCAACAAAAAATACATAGAAGAGACGAGTGCAGATTACTATGAATTTGGCCTTTGCAGTTACTGCCTCCCTTAGGCTAGGCTGACATAAGCAAGGTTAAGATGCTGGAGGAGGGAAGGGCACCGAGAAACAGAGTGTCACAAAATGAGCCCAGAGAGGACATGAATGGGGCTGAACTTGGAGGAAAGGGGTAAAGCCCGACTGAAGCAAGGGGACAGACAGAGAAAACTCATTCTGCACTTGCAAAGACTAAAAGCTCTGTGCACAGTGGTGTGGAAAGAAGAAAGGTAACTCGGGTGATATGGGAGGCTCACAGGAACATGAACTACCTCCTAGTAAGTACCTAGTAGTACCTAGTAGTACCTAGAAAAGACTAGTCTCTTGGACTAGCCTCTGGCTACACAGAAGGAAATATTAAGGGGCTATCATGGACTAGCAAGACATCTCATGAACAGCAAAACACCTTGGATGATCCCACCAGGCTCCTATGGCTTTGTCTATAGGGGAACATGGAAGGCTCCAAAGAAGGGAGCTGAGATGTACAATAACAAATCTTCTCTGGAGCTTCCATCTCTGAGTACAGACCATCATCCAGGACTGACAATGTGCAGCATGGYAGGGAAAAGAGAGGTCTCAAATTAGAAATGCAAAGTCCTTGATAGCGCTCCCACAAGTCTATGGRGCCAGAYAGATCTACCCCATGGGTTGAAGGGAGCCGGCAGAAGTGCTTGCCAAGCTGCTCTCCCTTACCTATGAGCAGTCCTAGTCAACAGGGGAGGTCCCYGATGACTGGAGATTTGCCAATGTGACTTCCACCTACAAGAAAGTTCAGATGAAGGATCCAGGGAACTACAGGCCTGACAGATCAACATTGGTATCAGGGAAAGTTAGGGAGCAGATCATCTTGAGGGCAATCACACAGCTTGTGTGCGACAACCAGATCAGGCCGAGCCAACATGGGTTCATGAAAGGCAAGTCCTGCCTGAGCAACCTGAGCTCCTTCTACAACCTTCTACAACCAGGTGACCTTCCTATTGTGTGAGGAAAGGTTGTGGACGTGGTCTCCTTAGACTTCAGCAAGGCCTTTGACACCATCTCCCACTGCCTCTTCCTGGAGAAGCTGGCAGCTCATGGCTTAGACAGGAGGACTTTTTGGTGGCTGGATGGCCAGGCCCAGAGAGTGGTGGCGAATGCAGTTTAATCCAGCTGGCAATCGGTTGTGAAGGCTGTTTCCCAGGGCTCACTGTTGGGGCCAGTCTTCTTTCATATCCGTATCGATGATGTGGATGAGGGGACTGAGTGCACCCTCAGCAAATTTGCAGATGGCACCAAGCTGGGAGGAAGAGTGATCTGCTTGAGKGTAGAAAGGCTCTGCAGAGGGGTCTGGACAGGCAGGATCCCTGGGCTGAGGGCAACTGTAGGAGGTGCAACAAGGCCAAGTGCTGGTCACAACGTGACAGGCTTGGGGCAGAGTGGCTGGAGAGCTGCGCGGCAGGAAAGGGTCTGGGGGTGGAGGCCGACAACCAGCTGAACATGAGCCAGAAGTGAGATGGCCAACGGCCTCCTCACTGGTATCAGGAACAGTGCAGCCACACAGACCAGGGAMGGGATYGTCCCCCTGTACTTGGTGCTGSTGAGGCTGTTCCTCAAATACCGTGTTCAGGCTGGGGCCCCTCACTGCAGGAAAGACATGGAGGTGCTGGAGCGTGTCCAAAGAAGGGCAACGAAGCYGGTGAAGGGGCTGGAGCACAGACTTTATAAGGTGCGGCTGAGGGAGCTGGGGCTATTTAGTGTGGAGAGGAGGAAGCTCAGGGGACACCTTACTGCTCTCTRCAACTACCTGAATGGAGGTTGTAGTGAGGCAGGAGTTGGTCTCTTTTCCAAAATAACTACAGCTAGGGCAAGAGGGAATGGCCTCTAGTTGTACCAGGGGAGGTTCAGGTTAGATACTAGGGAAGATGTCTACACGGAAAGAGCAGTCAAACATTGCAACAGGCTGCCCAAGGAAGTGGTGKTGTCACCATCCCTGACAGTGTKCAAGARATGTGTAGAAGAGGTGCTTAGGGACAAGGTTTAATGGGTATGGTGTTGAGGGGCCTATGGTTGGGCTCAAYGATCTTGAAGGTCTTTTCCAACCATAAAAGTTTCTATGAATCTATGACCTGTGGTGGAAAGGGGAGATGACTGGCACTCATATTTAGCTGTCTTCAGTAATGTCTCAAGGAGATCAGATCTATGACAGAAATTSAAATAAAAAATCGGCATGCAAGAAAGAAAAGCAAAGCAGAACAAGCAAGGGTGGAGAAGAATAAGGGTAATCTGTGGAAAATGGAGGGAAATGGAGGAAATCAAAATGTGAATGGAGGGCGAAGGAGTTATCTGAAGGACAGCACTAAGAGGATACACTAATCTAAACCCACTACAGCACTCAAACATCCCCTCTTAAATCTGCAGACACCCTTCTCTCATTCCCATCCCCACTTCCAAACATCCCCTCCCATTCCCAAATACCTTCTTACAGCCAGCTATCCCCCTCCCATGCCCTCACGCCCTACGCGTCCTACACTCAGATATATCCCCTCGCACCCCCAAATCTCCCCTTCCTGCACGCCTATGTCCTCTCCGGCACGCAGATGCCCCTCACTCGCACACAAACGCCTCTCCCYTGCTCTCAGGCGTCCTCTGCACGCCACTACCCGCCACCCCGAGCCCGCACGGCCGTGTACAAGGCGGCCTCCCGGCACGCAAGGAGGAGCTGCCGCTCCCGCTCCCGCCCCCGCCGCCTTCGTCCCGCCCTCGCCGCAGCCGCCGCTCGGGCCGCGCCTCGCGGGAGCGGCGGGCCCGCAGCGGGGCCATGCTGGGCAAGGACTACATGCTGGCCATCATCCTGGTCAACTGCGACGGTAGCGGGGCCGGGCTGCGGCGGCGGAGGGAGAGGGGCGGCCGCGCGCCGGGGCCCGGCCTGCGGCGGGCAGCGGCCCC